ACCTCTGATGCCACAATTGACTGATTACAATCCTCACAAGATCCATAGAGTTGACATGCAATCCAACCCGCAACGTAGTAGACACCAAATTTTTGCATTCGAGTTAAATGACACGGTTCTAGGACGAAATCTTCCATCTGCTCACTCCCCTGTTCCACCAGTTTGCTCTCTTTGTTACGTCCCTTCAAACAGTCAATGTAATAAGCTTCTTCGTCGTCTGAATACGAAGAGCTCTTGCTCACTTTCAGGAACATAGCCACTGCGAGAAGGCGAAATTTATGACGTAGACGGACTGGACGCGGATGCATGTCACCAGCTTTTGCTTGAGAAAAGAGATTTTCACAATGACTGGAGCCGAAGCGACTCGGGAGGAAGTATTCCATTTTTCCAGAAAGTACGTAGTCTTCATGGAATTGGAACGCGGTCAATGTGGCCATTTCAATTCCACGTTGAATCGGCTTGCGTTGAGATTTGGATTTACCCATTTGACTGAACCGTAATCGTTTTATCAATTCTACGAATTTCATAAGTTTCTGTCTCTTAGCGATAGTTGTATCATTATTACCAAGAGCATCACTCTTATGTCTAGCAGACATGATGGAATACCACTCATGGACATGACAAATGAACCATCCCGTTGTTTCTGCTTCTCGAGGCATGTCTGATGTCTCATCCTTAGCCAACAGAACCAAAGCAGTTCCAACTTCGTGGCAGAAAACTTCACGCGCAAGCCTAACGTCCATTTTATTGAATTTTGCAGGTTGTACGTGCTCCAGCTTCAATTTATACGCAATCGTAATTCCCCCGCGTCCGTAATCATTTCCTTCAACTAGTTTCTCAACATATTTCATAGATACTGTTGGTGTAGGTAGGTTATTGGCGTTTCGAACGTCTTCCGGAATGTAGAAGTCCGTTCTTCCCAATTGGCACCACATATTTTTCAATAAATGTTCACGATCTGGAAATATCCACAATCTTTCTCCTTCTTGAAGAGGATGGGGGAACGAAGGAGTACATTGATTGTCAATACTGTGAACACCGCGATCATTCCACAACGCTTGGTTTCCCGGCCCTGAATCCGATGACAAACATACCACGTGAATTCCTGCATCCTTAAGAAGTCCAATAATCTTCAGTAAAAAATCGTACAGTTTCTTACTGTCGAGAGATGCAGCAGTTAATGCATAAGAAACAGGCTGCTTCCAATGGGATGTAACTCCACGAGCCACAATTGCCAGAGCGTGTGATGCTTGAGTGCCAGCTTCTTTTTCGTCTCGTGCCAGTTCTGGAGTGACTAAACCAATAAATTTCTTCAGGCCACGATCATATTCCACCGCCGGTTGAATTGCCATTTCGTCAAAGCTTAAAACGCAGAGATGAGCATTGGGAGTCTCATCCTGAGCCACTTTTTCTCCCAGCCATTGGATTATTTCGGATATAATGCCAGGCTCAAATGTTATGTGAGAAATTCTCGAGAAGATCGTGGAGTATGCAGGTAGAGGAAGGTGTTCTTCCAATCGCAAATATTCATATCCAGCGACGCGGACCTTACACAAAATTCGAACCGCTTTCCTGATTGTTTCCTCAGACCAACGCTTCCTGTTTAACGCTGGATCTGCGCATTGCAGCATTAACAGTTGATCATCATTTAGAAACTTCTTTAAATTAACCATGAAAGTTTCCATCTTCTCTTCACTGTTTCGGGCCTATGGAGGAAATGAACGAGGAAAATTGGAGAGAGGGGATGAAACGAATGGAATGTATAGCGATGACTGAGGATACACGATAGTGATAAACAAATGAAAAAATAGTGGAAATTTACTCAAATCAAGNTTTAAATTAACCATGAAAGTTTCCATCTTCTCTTCACTGTTTCGGGCCTATGGAGGAAATGAACGAGGAAAATTGGAGAGAGGGGATGAAACGAATGGAATGTATAGCGATCACTGAGGATACACGATAGTGATAAACAAATGAAAAAATAGTGGAAATTTACTTAAATCAAGAAAATTGATGATTGAGTATTGGCTCTTAAAGAAAATAAATATGGCAGATCGATATATCACGTTTCTCCTCCTCTGTGAAAAATAAAATCGAACGACTAGAATGAAGCATAAGGATAATATTATTAAACTTACGTGTAAAGCCAAAAGACCAAGTATACGTATACCATACTTCAGCCTGACATGACCGTCTCAAAGTTCTCACGCTTGACCTGCAGTTACCTTTGAGTTAGCCCCTTAAGCTTGATTCTTAGCGTTAGACCCTCACTTTTTCAACCCTCATTGTTCCAATTTCCGATCTCACGACTGAGACACTCAATGAATAAGAAAACATTTTAGAGAACAAAAAAAAATGAGAATGAAAGGTGGATGAAAACTTTGTAGAAGTACTACAATTTCAGAGTTCGATATTTGTTTCAGGAAATTGGAATATAGGATATGGGAAGTGCCCGAAACCCCAATGAGTAAATTTCAACATTCTCGTTAATTGTTCATTTATCTCAAAGCCAATTGATTTCAAGTGAAAATGTCAAAAGACCATTCTTTTAGCTGATGCAATTTAGAACAAATATATGCTTTGACATTTTCTTGTCAAACCACTCATTCTATAGATAATCACCGAATGAAAAAACATTTCTAGATTTATACCTATGATCCCTAAAATATGCGTTAATTCCGCAATTATCTTTATAATTATCAAATCATTTAAGGACCTTTTTGGTAGTTCACAAGACTCCTCACAAATAATGTCTTTCGATATTTTTCTGTAAAACCCCTCATTACCGGAAAATCTACTATCTTTCTTCAACTTGCCGTCTCAATTCAATATCAACATTTTCATCAATTGAGTGGTTATTCCGTTCACGAGTGGTTTGACAATAAAATGTCAAAAGATCTTTGTAACGAAGAAAATTTCCTGCAAAAAATGTCTTTTGACATTTTGTCCGAAACCCACTCATTAACGAGATAATTGGATAATTAACGAAATCTAAAAAATAACTTCTTCCAATTGTCACATTTATCCATTTAGCTCATTAATGAGTCATTTTCATAGGAAATGTCAAAATACCTCTTTTATGGATCCGGAAATTCTTCATAACGAAGCTCTTTTGTTAATTTACCCTAGAATTACTCATTATTGAAATAATTAGATGTTTAACAAAATATAAAAAATCAACTTGTGGCTCCTCACTTTACTACTGAAATTGACCATTCAAATTACTCATCGATCTCGATAACTACTGATTCGGAGAGAAAATATTGAAAGGCCTTTTACGTAGCTGATAAAATTCTATTCATGGCGATTTTTGGTTTTTCATTACTTAAGCATGGAATGGCAAAAAATAATACCTTCTTTTTTGCTGCTACCAGCTGTCTCCCCAAAGCCTCATTGTCCCTTTCCAATTGTTCAATTTTGGATTTGAGTGCAGCGATTTCGTCACAATTTTTATCCAAGGAAATGCATTGGATGCCTCCAAGGTCATCGGCATCAACCATCATTCCTTCACCTTCATCAATAATGCTAGACGAGGTTGGAAGACATGTCTCCATCAACGTCTCTTCATTATTGAGAGTCAGGACAATTTGAGTTGTAGGTGCTGAGATGGATGGTAGTTTTTTTTTATAAATGTTTTTCTTTCATTCATTCACTTACCATTTCTTCTTGGAGGGCGCCTGATGAAAATAGTAGGTACAGCATCAGCATTCAGCCTCTCCTTACCGTCTTTCAATTGCCACTGATCGTCATCGAAGTGCCCCTATTATTGAATAATAAATAAATGAAGAATAAAAAATAAATGAATGAATGTTTTGATAGAACACAATAACTAAAACTATTTTCTCTCGCACCTCGCACAAATAACAATCTAACTTCGATGTTTGATCACTTGGTAACAAATCACCGCAATTTTCTATCCATTTCTTTCTTTTATCGTTTNAAGACATGTCTCCATCAACGTCTCTTCATTATTGAGAGTCAGGACAATTTGAGTTGTAGGTGCTGAGATGGATGGTAGTTTTTTTTTATAAATGTTTTTCTTTCATTCATTCACTTACCATTTCTTCTTGGAGGGCGCCTGATGAAAATAGTAGGTACAGCATCAGCATTCAGCCTCTCCTTACCGTCTTTCAATTGCCACTGATCGTCATCGAAGTGCCCCTATTATTGAATAATAAATAAATGAAGAATAAAAAATAAATGAATGAATGTTTTGATAGAACACAATAACTAAAACTATTTTCTCTCGCACCTCGCACAAATAACAATCTAACTTCGATGTTTGATCACTTGGTAACAAATCACCGCAATTTTCTATCCATTTCTTTCTTTTATCTTTTTTTTTTTTCAGTTGGGAGTGAGAAAAAACGATATTTGTCTATCGTCGAATTTTTACAATTCACAATTGCATACGATCTAACCATTTTTCCTGAATAAATTCGCACGGATTGTGTAGATTTATTACGACAGGTTTTGACAGGCAAAAACAAAAGACTGTCGCAAGCCGGCCGGCACATCATTAAACCCAGCAACCCGCGAAAAACAAACGTATTAACATTTGAATAAGCAGCCCTGATTGTTTTATTTTCAATATTATTGAAAAAAACTCGACTTTTCCATGAATTTTCACGATTTTTCATTGAAAAAGAAGATAGGAAAATATATTTAATAAAAAATGAGCTGATTGAATGTACTAGAATCATTCAATTAATTCGGGAGATGGAATTAATGGCGAAAAAAATCGGGAACTTTTTCTTTAATATTCTTTATTTTATTTAACAATTTAGAGCCTAAATTTTACATTTTTTCATTCAATTCTATTCATAATACGGATTTCATAGTTTTCCACCAGTACAGCAGTATCTATGGGTGCCCCCACCTAAAGGAGATGAGGGGAAGATGAAATCGACCGGAACGCCACGCCGCGGCGCCCGAGAGACCTTGTCCCCTGTTTTCTGGCTTTAGAATCCCTCCCTATATCATACCTTAGGGACATCAAGATGCCGAGGATCCTCGAGAGACTCCGAGACAGCTTTGGTGCCCTCGGGTGAGCCTCGGGATTCTGCAAGTTGCAAGGAGGGCGCCAGCTCTCGGATAGCGTTGGGAAGGAAGTGATGCAGAGGCCTGACTGATAAGAAATGCACGTGGAGAAGGAGAAAACATGACAAGAATGGAATCATCGGAACGCTGCGGTTCTAAAGGGACAATTGAATCCCTGGAATAATTATGTGATGGCACATTTCAATTAATGTTCACGCGCTTGTAGAAATTTGGTTTCGTCTGAGGTTTCTGAAAAAATGAAAGAAAAAAGCAATCACCACTGCATAACTATAATCCTTATTTACTTCGCTGAAATTAAAAAAATATCAGATTTCCAGTTCAGTTGTTGTTGCCGGCTAACGACGGTCAATCAACTACCATTTGTTTTATGTCATTATCGTGATCACCAAGTTAGCATGGAAAAATTGGGTTCATCAGATATATCATTGAATATCAAGGATCAGATTCTGGGATGTGGCGAAGGGGGGCATTGAAGAGTCACATTGCCAGAGATCTGATTGACAGATCGTATTGACAGAGATCTGAGAATTGTTGAATCAACACGAGAGTTCTTTTAGAGGAAAATACCAAGAGACATTTTTCTGTGGAAATTAACTTCACCTACAGAAAACGTTCTCAGACATTATAACATAAATAGAACCCTCTATTTATGTTATGTTAGTGTTTTTATCTCTAAATAGTTGGGATAGATATATCTCGCAGAGTAATTTTTTATTCGGATAATTTATCAAGAAGTAAAAAATTGAACTGTCATGTTTCTTCACTTTGATATAAGAATTCAAAATTCAATGTGGAGTTGGAAGCATGAGCGTAAATACTCGACATAATAGGATGTTAGGGTAATTCAGTGCAATATTAGATGGGTCGGAAGAAATGAGAGAAATCATCAACTGACGAAACGAAGAAATAGGTGCAGCGCGAGCAGAAGAACAGGCCGCAGAAGCACAAGCTATACCAACAGAGGAGGCAGCAGAACGAGCTGACCAAGCTGGCGGAGAAGCAGAGCGCGCCTGGTCGAGGAGTCGATTTTTATCAAGAAAGCTATCGTTTATCTCATACAAAATAAGAACATGAATTATTTCTAATTATAATCAAAGTGTAATTATAATCAAAGTGAAATACAACTTTATACAACTTGCACGTGAAATTGAAAAATATGTCTCGCAACGACAACGCTTCCAGCCTTCAGCGTTCACAACGATCGCTTGGACCTATTGTGCAAGTTGATAGTTTCGTTATGTCACCGACAGGAGTCTAGCTTAATCATGAAGAATGTGGAAACATCGGTCTACGGCTCGTCCTGCGACAGTATTGGTATATAATTGGTGTCACAGCGTTCACAACGGTCGCTTGGACCTATTGTGAACGCTGTGACACCAATTATATACCAATACTGTCGCAGGACGAGCCGTAGACCGATGTTTCCACATTCTTCATGATTAAGCTAGACTCCTGTCGGTGACATAACGAAACTATCAACAGCTCTCAAAATAAGGTTAAAAAAGGGGGGGTTTGTAACAATTTAAAAGCAGCGTACTTTTTCACATCGCTTTCTTCACAGGTTGAAAAAGTGAACTTTTTTTTTAACTACTCGAAAATACCCCCAAAGAGATCCACTTTATCCTCGAAAAGTATGTTAGGGATGAATCCCTGGGTCCTGGTATTGGGAAATAAATCTCCCTATAGTGGATGGATACGGGAATCCGGTATTTTACCTGGTGGGAAAAGAGATGTTTATTTATTTAAACTAACTCATAATTATCCAGACGGGATAATTATGCAGAAATTACAAAGATGATACAAAATAAGTATTAAGCTTGATTTACGTTGACGATTGAACTCCCGAATATTCGTGAGTTCAGCTTATATAGTAATTACTCGTGTCACGTTAACGATACTGGTAAACAGTGTTGCACATGAACGCTGATTTAGTAAAACAATGAGTGAAGTAAATTGAACTCAATTCATTGTTGTACTTCTTCATTTTTGTAAATAAATTATTTCTTAATATATTGCCATTATTTTGGGGCATAGCAAGTAATAGAAAAAAACTGGATTTTTTCACGCACGTATGTCAAAAAGAAATATTTTGGTGCTGGATAAATTAAAATCGGTCGATTAAAAGGCAAGTTATGTGGAACAAAACGAAAAACAGGACATTCCAACCTGCGGGTAGATTGCTACCCGAGGTGAAGCCGAGGGCGGTACACACGCGGGTTTTGATATCCTGTTTTCCTTCCTAGGTGCACATACTATTTGTCGTCATAAGTACACGGTAAAATTCTATTTTTCTTCGTAAATGCAGAGAAGAAAGTGGGTTATATCAGAAATCCTAGGGAGCAAATAAGCCACTTTCCTTCCTTTATTTGGGGAGAGAACTCAAACTTTCCGTGCAGATGTGACGATATAGTATATTTCTAATCTAGGGAGGCAAAATAGAACAGTTGGTATAAGTGCAAAGTCAGATTTTCTCTGAACGTTAATGTGTACTAATCTTTCATACGTGTTTTACAAACGTTCCTAAAAAAAATCAAGCGATAATTCTTTATGCCCCTAAATCCTGTAAAAAGTCCTTGTCCACTTTCGAGAGAGTAAGGGTCGTCGGTTAAACGATTCGGCTTGGAATACCTCACATATGACTAATGCCAAATGGATCATGAATTATAATTTAGTGGGTTGTGACGAGTATCACGCAATCTTTAATTAGTCATTACGTCAAATAATTATTAACCTACCCTATGGTTTTCTGATAGTTTTTCTTCTTGAAATCCAAGTCTATAATTATCATCAGGCATTGTTCACATCCAACGACTCTTCATGATATCGTTCTAGGAATTTAGTAGTTTACAAGTGCTTGATAAAACTAACTGTGCATTAAATACTTTGAAAAAACCCAATGAATCTATCGAACTTCCAAATATAAAATGAATTTCTGCAGTCGACTCAAGGAAATCATTCATTTTCGAAAATTCATTACCCAGATAAATCGTAAATCTTCGGAGAGAACAGAAACAAATTCAGCAATTGATTTCGATGAGGAAATAAAATATCCCCGGATAACAATGAAAATCATCGGAATTTGGCCCTTCGCATATCGCGGGAAACAGACTATCCATTGTATTACCGTACCTGTTCTAACTTTGTTAGTTCTCCTGACAACGAAATCATACACCATAGAATGGAGAAATGATGGAACCTATCAGTTATTGATCACCATTTTTATCGAATTAGTTACTGTTAAAGTCTTCATATGCAAAATTTTCGAACAAGATATTCAAGAAATATTTGCATTCATGGAAGATGATTGGAATCGTTCAAAATATTTCACGATTGAGAGAAAGAATATCATGGCGAATAATGCTAAACAATCACAAATCATTTCAAAAGTGTTGGGAATTTTAGTTGCTGCTGGAACTACTTGTAAGTGTCGAAGTCCTAAAATTTCAACTTCTTTCCCGAAATGATCTTCCAATCCGTTCATATGTCATCTTTTGTGAAACCTTTCCAGCTGCAGTAAATCTTCCTTGGGTAGCATCACATATCCTGCAGGAATCAGTGCAATTTTACGCTGATATTTGGTATCCTTTCACCATATCTCCCATTTCTGGACTCATAATGATTCTGGAATTTTTAACGATACTGTACACTTCTATGGCTTTCTTATGTCTCGAAACATACTTCATTATTGTGGCTAAACATTGTTGCGCGCAATTGAAAATCCTCAGTAGTACTATTGAACAGTACAATGGACGTATTTTGCATAATATTCCTACAGAGCAGTACGATTGCGCATGCACTGAATGTATTGTGATGAGACACGTCGAAATAATAGAGTAAGTTCTGTTATGCATAACTTGCATTCTTAATTGCTAATATTTATTTGAGGATATTCAATCTGCAGATTTTTCAAATCAATCAAAAAGTTGTTCCACCCTCTTATATCGACTAACTTGGTATTAGGCCAAATGTATATCCTTGCAGCGGTAGTTACGTCCTTCAAGGTAAAATCGACTGGAGTGCGCAGTCCAATTAGCCACCTTCTTGATTTTTCTCACACACGACATCAGGGAGGTACAAACGCCTAGCGTAAGATTTGTACCTCTCTTTTGGCTATGGGTTAATTCTCTAGTGGCCGTTTTGGTGATTTTTAAGAAGTTAGCTCATTTTGCGGAACCAACCAACCAACGGAACACTACCATTTTGTATAGTGTTAGAAACTCTTTTATACTAGAGCTTTTGGACTCCATTAAGCGTGCCATAATTGGGCTGCTCACCCTATCAACTACCAAATCAACTCGGATTTGGAAGAATTTTCAAATTAACAATTGATTTCAGCAAAGTGGATCTGGAAGTACTTTTTTTCTCATCATCTGTTGGATGTCTGGTTCTCTATCAATTCTAACAAAACTCCTTTATTGTAACATCGGTGAAGAGCTGAGACAAGAGGTATTACTATCGAATCTCGATTCATGATTGGATGAGTGTGTGTTCGCATGAGAAGGACCGACTTTGTCGATATGGAATTATTAGATATTATTCATAACATCCGGACATTTTAAGCTCCAAATGACCCTTATAGTATCCAAAATTGCGTCGCTACAGAAGATACAAAAATCAATTCAATACTGGTGTAATGTGTTTCGTGTAAAAATCAAAATAATGCTAAAAGAATTGAAAAATTCATGGGAAAAACATCAAAGCATGCGGATCATTGAGATATTTTATAATTTTTAGACGTCGGCCCCATAAAGAAAATGATGAAATTTGAATGACTTGTAACCCCTCTACTTATCAGACCGAGGTTATCTCGACCTCAATCACGCAAATTTTCATATCTCTCAAAGAAAATAATGGACCATTGAAAAAATAATGCGCATGGCAAAATATGGAACCTTCTTTTGAGCAACCAAATAGTCTTTCCAACTCATTCTGGGACCTGAATTCATCCTTTGTTCTTTTTTTAATTTCTCTGAACGACAAGACCTCCATTAATACTCAGTTTAGGAGATAAGAGTGCTTTATTTTTTCTCCTCCGCTCTCGTAACCCAGCGATCTCTTTTGAATATTTTCTTTTTAGGCCTCCTTCAATCCTCTCATTAAATGCACGCCTAGGCGGAGATTTTTTTTATACAAGTTCCGAATTTCAATTTCAACCATATATGGTTGTGACTGAACGTGTAAAATGTTTGTCTGCGACCCCGGGGTTATCCGGTGAAAATCTCTCGTTTTTTTTTAAAGAAAAATGCCCTTTCTGTTGAAATCAATATTAATCGATATTAATTGGTTCAGATGCGATATTTTTCAAAATGGGGAGAAAGGAAAATAGTAGTCGAAATTTCAGATGTTTGTCCAATCTTTAGCACTTAGTATGTGACGTCAAATTAACTATCACATGAAAATACAAGCAGAAAACAGTGCCTATCAGACAAAAGACATGGGACCGCAATTGTACGAGTCATTAGCGCGTTTTCTCTTATTCCTACCAATTCCATTTATAATTACTTTCTGAATGTTTTCGTGGCAAGTCAATTTTATAAATGACAAATAATAAATTCTATTGAACTTTCGTAATTTATTTGACAGATATAATCATTATCACATTCGTTCAATTTGTCCAATTTGTTTGTTGAAAAAATGTTGTAGAGTGAATTCGTTTTCAAGATATTGAGAACTAACTACCAAAATATGAAAATTGTGAAACACCACGCCCTGCAACTGGGCGATTAACAAAATTAAAAGTTCAACTGGTTTGTTGGTCGCTCGCGTCGATAGCTGCCATCGCGGGTGGGTTGAAGTGGGTTACTCCCATTACTAATCGAACTAATAACTTTCCGACCAATTCCCATTTTTCTGCTTATGTCATTAGGCCTGATAAACTGCGATTCTAACCTCGCTTCGCTCGATTAGATCACGGTTTTTGGGCCCAATAACATAAAATATTGTATGCCACATGGCGATAAAAGTATTATCTGACGAATGTGATTATTAGGGCCGGGCAGTTCCGTTTTGGTTTTGCTTAATCTGAAGTTATCAGTTTGACATGTCAAAAAATCGATACCACGTGTGAATGTAGCCTGTAAAATGGTAAACATTGGTTAGAAAACAAAAAGATGCAATGGAATTGTTCTAAAAAGTTCATTACGTAAATGTAATGGATTTATCAAGTTGAATTAAGGATGCCAAGTGGGTCAAGTGCACAACTAAATTGATCATTTTTTTCAAAAACCTTGCATAATAAATTGTGTTGACTTGATTAATTCATCTCGCCAATTTATATTCAAATTGAGTTGGGATGTAATACATGTAAAATTTTCTTTTTATTTTTTCGACCAAAAAATATTTGTTTTATTGACTAAATGGTGATATCCGGTGGGAATCGTGGCAACATCGCTGCTATCAGCTGATGGTAGAGGCGCGAGGGTTTGTTGATATTTGAACGTGTGTTGGAGATTATACATGCCTGTGAACAAACCATGGCCTCAGACAAAAATAAAAATTTATTGCGTAACAAAAGGGGACAGTTTATCTCCCAAAAATGTAAAATTCGTGAAAGTAAGTCTCGAGAGGGTGTAAAAAATCATCATGAGCAACAAAAATTACTGAAAGAAAGTGCAAAAAAATCAGAAGCAAGAAAACTGAAGGAAGAATCGAAGGAAGAACCTTTCATTTTCCACGGACGGCGTGTAGTAAAACTTGATACGCTAGGTGATAATGAAAACACCGTCATTTGCTTAATCACCCATCCCTCACCCCCAGACTCCAATATTCCTTTATTCTCTTCACTACTCATTAATATATCCAGATTCAATCTAATGATTTTTTTAAGAGGGAAATGTCGAGAAACACATTTTGTTGGACATTTAATTAGCCATAACAAGATCCATTGAAATGATTTCCCGAGATGAGTAGATCCTGAGACCAATGTTCTTTCGCACAATTCGTTTGAAATTCAATTATAAACACCATTCGAGTCTCATAAGAGCCAATGCTGGATCTTCAAATTTTGTTTATTTAAATTCTCAATAATTAATACCGGCTGAAAGGTCAAGATTGTCATCTAAATTTTTTAAGTATTTCTCGCTATTACAGGAAAAAAATTGAATTTCTGTTGATTTATTAAACATTTTCACTTGGCACCCTTAAGTAATTCTGATGTTCTTACTGGTGTCCTTAGTGAGTTCATGTCCATAGAATTCGTACGTGCTTTCTAGGTAGGATGTGCTTAGTAAAAATGAGGTTGGGGAAATACCTCAGAATATACAGAGTGATCCAGTTAAAACAGCGCACCTGAATACCTCCTAAAAAAGGGTTAAATGGAAAAATGTTTCACATGAAAGTTGGAGGGTTTCGAAGGGGACATTCGATATGAGCTTTATTTTGAGCTTGCAAGCTCATGCTTGCAAGCTGCAAGCACAAGGTGCACTTTTTTAAATGGCAACCACATTTTTCATTCCTATGAAACTTGTTCCTCTTAACGAGATGTTTTCAGATACCTCATCATTTATGTCGATTCCTTCGATTCCACTCCAAAAATACCATAAAAACAAGTTCCGAGGCCAAATTGGAAATTTTCGTTTTTTGACGTGAGCTAGGAACGCAAATCATTGTTAGAATGTAAAAGCACAAATTGCAGACTTTCTCGGCGTTATCCAGGATGCACCACGTGGAGGTGAAGTTTGATACGCATCCCTTGCGCAAAAAAAAAAAAAAGAAAAGCGCGGACAGCTTCAAATACACCGAGAACTAAGACATTTCAAAGCAGATGTTCAATGTTTCCACCATTAACTGCCAGACCCAACTCGATTCGACGTCGGAAGTTCTGTACGACATTTGGGAGAACAAGTGGAGTTATACTGACAATCGCTTCCCGAATTCGTCTCTGCATATCGCCTGGAGTCCGTTCTAATAACTATCCTTGAATGACCTGAAAACTGTTTATTGTTAACATTCGGGTACAGCTTGTTGATCAACAAATGGAAAAACTAATCTGTCAGATCTCAAGCTGTGTGAAAAGTCTAAACTTCCAATTTGCCCTCGGGGCTTGTTTTTCTGGTATTTTTGGAGTGAAATCGAAGGAGTTGACATAAATGACGAGGTGTCTGAAAACATCTCGTTAAGAGGAACAAGTTTCATGTAGGTAAAAAATATGGTTGCCATTTGAAAAAGTACACTTTGTGCTTGCAGCTTGCAAGCATGAGCTTGCAAGCTCAAAATATAACTCATATCGGATGTCCCCCTCGAAACCCTCCAACTTTCATATGAAACATTTTTCCATCTAACCCTTTTTTTAGGAGTTATTCAGGTGCGCTGTTTTAACTGAGTCACTTTATATATTAGTGGACCCTCTTGCTGCCAATATTCCTATGTGACTTGTGCGTGTCCTTACAGAGTTATCCCCAGCCAGTCTATTATGGGACCTTCTTGATACCGGTATTTACTTCGGGGTTTCTAGTGTCACCAGGTTCTTTCTACATGATCCCATGAGGTTTTCTCAGAGAAAATTATGCGCGCTCTGATAGGGTTGACTCAGTGAAAACCAAGTTGATGAAGTGCAATGGATTTCATTGATGAATTGAGGCAGTCTCTTGGGAGATCATCTCGATCTCTGTGGTCCCGTTGATGTTCTTAATATTCCTAGATAGTTTGCACAGATATCTGGTTTTATTTTCCAACTATTTTCTCCAACTCCTTCAGTAGAAACGTTGGCAAATAAATTCAGAGAAAGACTAAATGCCATCTCATTGACCGTGGAAAGATTCTGTCAAGAGCAAAAACTCAATGTTGAATGAAATCATTTATTCAATTTATTTTTTCATTTAGGTAAATTGGGATTTCTTGTCTTTCAACAAGAAAGAGGTGTCGTCTCCAAATCCTGAAGAGTAAATTTCGTCCCTTGAAAAATAATGATTCCCTGTTTCTTACTAGTTTTTCAACTTTTCATGTTGAGAAATTGTAAGAAGAGTTTCCACGATATAAATTTCTTTTTATTTTTTGTTTTATCGTGGAAATTTGATTATTTATTTCTGCATTTGGAGAGAAGACAATAAAAAAAAACTCGTAATCGTCCTATAGGGATCCTCCGTCTCCTCAGTTCGTGTGGTATTGGTTGACCCTGAAGAGTAAGTTTCCTTTGTGAAAAAAATCCTTTTCTCTCAAATATTCATCTTTTCACCACATTCTGTAATTTTTTAATGTTGAAAAAGCGGCGAAGCAGTCTTGACGAGGACCAAGTGGCTTCTCATCACTCGAAATCCGCTATTAAGAGGGGAGAAAAAAATTTTTGAGTAATTTTTCTATAATTTTTTATTTTGATCAATGCCCGAGGCAAGCATTGTTTTCATTCAAGGAAGCATGAGGTAATATCCTTGTCAAGAAAAACTGTTTCTTCCAGGTGCAGAGCCTATGACAAAACTGAGGAAACGATACAGCTGTCTATAGACCTTTGG